TTTTTTTTTTTTTTTTTTTTTTTTGAGAGAGGAAGGAAGAGAGAGAAACATTAATTGGTTGCCTCCCGCACCCACCCCAACAGGGCATTGAACCTGCAACCTAGGTATGTGCCCTGACCCTGACGGGGAATCCTACCGGTACCCGCAACCCTTTATTTAGGACAACGCTCCAACCAACTGAGTTACCTCACCAGGGCCTGACCTTTAACTTTTAATGAACTTTAACATCTATAATTTCATTAGTATATTTTGGTGTTACAGATTAACTGCATTTGTGGCCTATTACATTTCTTTCTTGACACCTGCAGTAAACTTTGGAGGGATCCGGGGATGACTTGTGTGTAGTGTGCTTTACAAATAAAGCTACAGCCCTAGGGCATCAGTGAGCTGCCGTTCTAGAGAAGAAACTGAGTCACAGGGTTGCGAAGTAGGGGCTCAGCCCTGCTGGGTGCTGCAATGCAAATTGCAGTGTCTCTTTCCATCACATTTTGCAGATTGAGACATAAATGGATGACTTGTAATGGTCACTTGCTGTGCCAGGCGTTTTGTCAATGCCATTTTGTGCTGAGTTGGAGCCTGATCAACCCTGTGAACTTAGATGTTATTCCCATTTTGCAAGTGGGGAGAGGAGACGCTGAGCCCTCAATCTGCCACATATATGGTGAAAACTTGGTGTTAAAAGTTCTTATAACATTTGTTCACCATTTTCCTTTGTGCCTGGGTGCATGCTTGGGCACTGGGAGAACTCGCATTCTGGTGGTGAGAAACTACAATTTTCCATACCGATAAACTTCTATACATAAAAGGAAGGGGTAAGAGGGTAGCTTAAAGCATTTATGTTAAAGAGGGATACTCGGTTGAAACGGTTGGCTAGATTCTCTTGAGGAATGTAGGTGTATGTTTTGTAGAAAAGATTCTCAGATGCTAGGAATGTTTGGGACAGAAAGTTTCAGGGAGGAAAGGTAAGTGTCTGTCTGTTTTGGTTTTGCCTCTAGTGCTCTGCCCTTTTCCGCATTCTTTCTTTCTCTGACCCCTGACAGGTTCTGCTTCCAGTCTGAACTCCTTCCCCAGGATGTCCCAAGAGGCCTCACTTGCTCAGGTTCAAGGCTGAGTTGCCAGGTTAAATCACACTGGACATTTTAGCACATACTTGGTTGGCCCAAGGAGTCTCAGTTGTACCCTTGGCTGCCACGTCTATACGAAATAGAGAAGAGTGCTTAGGTGGAAGAGTCAAAGGTCCTGTTAAGTTACATTCTTAAGTACTCACTGGGTTTAGGTGGGAAAATAAGGAGCCTCAAATTCTGGCATTCCCAATGCTGTTCACCCCAGTGGAGGGCAATTAGTCTTCCCAATAGAGGGGAGGGGGTGTGTGCAGAAGCATCCAGCCCATTCCTTCTCTTTCCTGAGACTGAGGTGAAGTGATCTCAGGTATCAGCTGATGTGATTGCTTTTGTTTTACTTTGGGAGCAAACACGTAAGAGAGAGCATTGCTTTCCTCCCCATCTCTGCTTCTGAGATGCTTTAGAAGTATATCAGGTGGTAAAAATCCAGGGCAGCTCTTGCTAAGTTCTAAGCACTCTTAGATATCTTACTTATTTGAATTCACCTTATGTGATACGAGGGAAGCTAGGAATTCCCTCCCTAGGAGCATGCACACATCCACATACTCAATACTTCATGGATTTTAGGCAATTCATGGCCCCTTGTAACTCATCCAAGCATTGTAGGAATCTGAAGCCCTAATGGTGAAGGTTTGTTGGGAAACATGGGATCCAAGTATCAAAACAAAAAGACAGTTTCCCTATAATTAAAAACACTAAGGAATAGCCCAAGAACTCATATTTTTCAGATCTCCCTTTTTGAGATGTGAATCAAGGAACCTGGGGAGTAGCGTGTCCCTCCCTCTCAGTGTAAAGGAAACCCACGATGCCCTGCCAAATGAATTTATGGTCTTTTCCTCTGTGCAGTTGTGGTGGTGGTAGCTAGTCTCCGTGATAGGCCCCATGAACCATACCTTGGGTATTTACATCCTTGTATAAACTCCTCCCACACTGACTCTGGGTTGGACTTGCTACTCTAACCTGATAGAATGCAGTAGAAGTGATGCGGTGCCAGCTCCCTGGGCCCAGCCCTTAGGAAGTCTCCGCAGATTCACTTTCTTGTACTCCAGGGAGCCCTGAGCTACTGTGTAAAAGTTCCAGTTACCAAAGTGGGGAGACCCTGTGGAGAGACTGCTGCAGAGCAGAGGCCCTGGGACTCCCTGAGAAGAGAGAGGCTCAGCCTTCCTGACAGCTGACTCCCACCTGTTGTCTGCCCACCTGCCACCATGTGATTGGAACTCACGAGAGGCCAGAAGAATTAATGCCCAGATGAGCTCAGGCAATTCGCAGGTGGGAGAGCATAAAGAAAATAAAAGATGGTTGTTGTAAACCACTAAATTTTGGGGTGTTTTGTTATATAGCCACAGATTATTGAAACAGTTGTTCTCCTTAAATAACCCTCTTTTATTTTTAAGTATAAGAGTGTAGGTACTGATGGAAAAGGGCTTTGGGGACTGTCAGAGACACCAATATAGTTTTAAAGTGAAGGACAGAGTGTAAAACTGGGATTCAGCTTAGCTGACTCCCTGATATCACTCTATGCACAGACCCCTCCTTCCTCAAGCAGATTCAGATGAAGTGATTGCAGATACCAGCTAGTGATTTTTTAAAGTATTAAACTTGCCTCATTTTTAGTGGTTTTACTTCGGATACATAAAGGATACACCGTCCCCCCCCCTGCCCCCCCACTATCTCTACTTCTGAGATACACTTTTGTAGTGTGGCAGGAGGTAGGAATCCAGCCCTTTCTTGGACTGAGATATCCTGACTCGATGCTAACATAGAGTCTACACGCCTTTGAGGGACCACAACAGCCCTAAGAGGGCATTTTCCTTCCTACTGTGACAGTGACTGCTTCTCTGTTAAAGCTACCAAGGTGGGTCTGATACATTACAAATAAGCTCATAAGTTACTTACACAAGCTGCTAAGAGGTGATATCACAACGATACTGTATCTTTGATTTATTATATTTATCTCTCAATAGTACTGTACCTTTCATTCGGATCACACTACAAAAGACATCGGCTTCCTCTTTACATGTGTGCTGCTATCAGGAAAAGCACATCCGAGCAAAAGGAATTCAGAGAAAACGGAACAGGGCACTGTAAACGAAAATAGGTAATCTCTGCCGAATGTTTTTAAGTGTCCCACTTCGTTTTGTTTTTAATTTTCACAACTATGCCCATCACATAGCAGATGTTCAACATTCCCTTCCTCTCCCCTCTCTCCTTTGACTTGTTTTGACAATTTTGGACAGAGGGAGAGATTTTACAGCCATTATTTCAGCATAGATTTCATCTTCCAGTTTACAAGGAGTTCAGAATATCTACCTGAAGAAAAATGGTATTTACGTCCCTTAAATTCTCTTCTGAATTATTAGGCAACGTTACGTGAAACAATTCAACTCGCACCATCCTCCTTACACACACCTAGAACCCACACCACTGGCAATTCTCTCAGCTTTATTCAAAATACTGGATGTTAAAAATTCTTAGCATGGTGTAGAATAGTATTTAAATAGTAAAATAGTATTCTTTAGTGCAATATAAAATTTCTTAGCACTAGCCCCGGCTGGGTGGCTCTGTTGAATGGAGTATGGTCCCATACACCAAAAAGGTTGCAGGTTTGATTCCCATCAGGGGTTCCATCCCTGGTCAGGGGCTTATGGGAAGCTCCATGCTTCTCTGTCTCTCTCCCTCCCTCCCTCCTTGGTCCCTTCCTCTCTCTGTAAAATCAATTAAAAAACATGGGGTGAAGATAAAAAAAATAATTTCTTAGCTCTAGCATACAGCAAGTGTTCAGTAAGTCGTTGTCATGATAATGATAATTTTCATGAATGTTAACTTTCTCAGCAGCTCAGGTCCAAACAACAATTTGGCTGAATAATTGAAAAAAAGTAAAATTTAATTTTTGAAAATGAAGACATTTTAGCTTTGAGGATCTTGTTACCACTTTAGTCAAAGCCTTAAACACTTTGATAAAGTCAAATTCATAACAAATATTCCCAATACTGTTGTTGCTCAGGAAGATGGTTTGTGAAGTCACACTCTGCACGGGGACTCTGATAAACGTAACTAAACGGCAGGAGATATGCTGTTGACCCAGTTTTTTCTAAGAGCAAGGTCAGTGCCTACTCTGTTTGGAATCTCGTATACCTGATCTGTGGTTAAGCAGGAAAAGAATTGCGGCAAGCTTGCAGTGGGTTGAGCAGTCTTCTGGCCTGCCTGATTCCTCTGGCGACAGAAAGCTGGTGCAAGGAGGGTC